TGTCCTCACCTGAGCTGCTCGGCCTCCTGCTCGGCAATGGTGCGGGCCTTGCTGTGCTCCTCCTCCTCAAGGATCTGTTCTACGCTGCGGTCGTCCGTGTGCTCGCCCATCACCCACGTCCACGGCCGGCCCTGCCCGTCCACCATGAAGTCCACCTTCTTCATGCTCTTACCTGCAAGCAAACAAACACAATATACAGGGTTTCTTATACATAAGAGGCACAGTGGCGCACCGCCGTTGTCAAATTTAACATCGCCGTTGTGAAAATGTTCCTGTATTTACTGATAAGTATATCCTGTATCTATGTACCTATAAGTATATCAATACATCCTGTATTTGTATCCAGCATGCATTTTTTCCCCAAACTGGGCATTACCTCCTTTGTCTAATTTTCCCTCAGAAGAGACCCTGGGATGAGCAAGTATGCACCCATTGCACTTGCAGGTAGCTGTATTCAATAGGTGTGACAAACACTGAGGACTTCATGGTTACTACAAATGACATTATTAGCCTCTACATAGTCCCTGCACTGTATTGAATTTGCTCTTCTTTGACCAATTAGGAATCAACACATTCACTATAACTGTATATTGTGTGCTTACCTGGAGCCCTGAGTATAACATTTAGCGGCTCTTCCTGACTGCTAGTAGAGGGTGACTGCAGGTCAGTGCCTTGGCGTGCAACCTTGACAGGACGAATACCACACAACTTCGCTTGGCTCTGAAATTTATACATTCCACATAGTGACATTGAATCATACCTTAACCTTTGCACATACAAATGCATATATGACAGACTGTTTTGTGCTAATTTTATAGTTCAATTTTCTTGATGAAATTGCATAATATATGTAGCTGACTGTAGGTTTTTCTCCGAAGAACGTGATTTTAGTTTTTGCAATTTTTTGGTGCTTCCTAAGTGCTCATTTCATACTGGTCAAAAATACTGAGTTATTTCTTACAGATCTGACTAGCATCAGGGCCTGGGCAGCAGCATCGTTACTCGTTAGCACAGACTTGCGTCCAGTGGCGCACTGTTCATTGATGCACTCGCCGTTCCCACAGCCTTCCATTAACTGGAAGTATAACTTCTCTATCAGCTGTTTAGCAGCTGCACGCTTCCTGTAAGGAAATGTCAAAAAGCCAAAATCAATACAACATATTTGGCTGCACTTCATTAATTTACTGAGCGTTTATTGCTTACTGAAGAAATTACTTTTTAATGAAATTGAATTTTTTTATGTTAATTGAAATGAATCACTAAGAAACGTTCACTAAAAACATGCTTTCCTCACCACTAAAAATAATCTGTAAAACGACCTCAAATATATGAATTAGTAACTTAATAACCTGTTATCTAGCAGTTATTTGTGAATTTATATTCGTAAAAAAATGTTACTAGTTCACATCCAACCTACATGTTTTCAGCTGCTGGTAGATGCTCCGGATGAAGTCTTAAATTGGTGTCACTACAAGAACAATTGACTAAGATTTACTCTCTGCTAATGTAATTGCTATGGCTAGTGACACCTGGTACTGGTATGGACTATCCTTGTCAATTCTACTGGTTTGACCTATGCATATTATTTTTTTACGCAGTGGCTACGCGTACGGTCATCCATTACAAAGCTCAGCACAGATTCGTCACGATTAGGCCACACCCCGCAATGTTATGGCATACGTGCTAAAACTGACCTGAGGTGTTAAACTAAGCTTGGGCCATCACTTTCATAATACAGCCTTACAGCTACAACTCAGCAACTGTACTAGTACTAGTACTACTACTACTATATATACTACAGTTTCCACCCTAATTACATTGATCAGATGTGTGTGAACCCGTTCACGATTAAAATATTTTAGTAGACTATAGCCCACATAACTCGTGTAATTATAAATTTACTTTGAATGCGTGATAATATTTGTAAGAAAATTGGGAACTGATTTTTTGCAAACGGGCCATTATGGTTCAAGGATAGAGAACATGGGTCCCAATGAAACCAATGTCATTTACATCAATATAAATATAATATTATATCAATATAATACTAATAGTAATAGGTTAGGGTTATGGTTACGGTTAGAACATTACTCATTACTATTAGTCATTATCATTGACACGTACGAGTGATTGGACCTAGTAGTAGTGTTCTCAATGCAGAAAGGCAAAATACTACATGGAAAAAACGAACACATTTTACGGCCACTGCCAGTGGCAGTGTCATCGCAACCAAAACTGTTGTCCGAATTTATAAACAAGTTGTACTTGCAGCTAGACTCTGACAGAATGACAACGTAAGAAATGTAGGAATGATGAAATCACCTGCTTTCCACTTCACCGGTAGCAACCCTTCCGTAACCTTCTGAATTCATACGAACGACTGGGACATTGACAAACTTTTCGCGGGCAAACTAAACAAAGTCCCTCTTGGACAAAATATGTATGAGGCAATAACATTCGTTCCTTTTACCAACTTTCACGCATATCCGCCATTATTCTGGAAGTGGATTTCACACATAGCGCCCCCTATATTCAATAACTCGAAGTCTTGCGCTGCGTCACGGGCACTTGGAGCACTGATCTCTGAGCACTAATATCTAATCTATATTATATATCATATT